CGCCGCCGCGCGCGTGTGCTCGAAGAGCGCCGCGACGGCGGCCTCGTCCGCGGCGGCGAGCGCCTCCTCTAACGCCTCGGGCGAGGCCGCGCCGGGCTCGACGGCCGCGGCGTGCGCGGCGAGCGCGGCGCCGAGCGCGGCGTCGTTCCGCGCGGCGACGGCCGCGACGCCGCCCGCGACGACGGCCGCCTTGTCCGACGCTTTCAACGACGCGCACCAGGCGTCGAGCTGGACGCCGAGCATGGGGCCCGTGACGACGTGGCCCAAAGCGAGTTTCGGCGCGGCCGCGTCGACGACGCGCCGCGTCCAGCCCGCGCCGTCGTCGCGCGCCGCGCCGTCGCGCCGCGCGAAGACGGAGGTCACGAGGAGCCGCGCGTTGTTCCGCTTCGCGACGTCCTCGGAGAAGCCCTTCTCCGCCGCGAGGACCGCGCCCTCGAGGACTTTGGCGGGACCGACGGACGCCGCGCACGTCTCGAAGGCCCAGACCAAGTGCGGCATGGCGCCGACGACGCCCTCCTGCTCGCCCGCGTCCTTGCCGTCGCGGCCCGCGTTGTAGGCGATGCGACGCAGCACGCCGTCGAGGGCCGCCCAGGGCTCGACGGCGCGCGCGTGGTCGACGCCTCCCGGGGCCGCGTACGAGCACACGGATCCGCCGAGCAGCACGCACGCGAGGGCCTTGGCGCCCGCGCCGTCGAGGGCCGGGCCGACGGCGACGCCGCAGTCCACGAGCAGCACCGTCGCCTCGGCGCCGGCCTTGAGCGGCTCGGGCCTCAGCCACGCCAAAACGCTTCCGTCAGCCGGCGGCGGCCGCGGCGCGAGGCCCGCGCTCGCGGCGGCGGACCCGTCGCCGAGCGCGGCGACGAGCGCGACGCCGCCGGCGACGGCCTCGAGCGCCGACCGGCCCTCGGCGTGCAGCACGACGTCGCCGCCGTCCCGCGCGAGGAGGCGCACCCAGGACGCGTCCGCCGCCGCGGGCTCCGCGCTGCCGCCGAGGCCCAGCCAGCTCGCCATGCGTGCGTGTGTCTGTGCTGCGGCGACGCTGCTACTTGCGCGCTTAGCGCGATCCCGCGCCGGCGCCGACGACGCGCGCGAGAGGCGCCTCTCGATGAGCTCGAGACGATTGTCCGTGGACAGGAGGATTTAGCGACCGTTGCGATTCCCCGGGAGACGTTTTAGGCCGAAGCTGCCCGTTTTTGGGTTGCGTAATTATGATGGAGGAGGATGCATGCTCGAGCAGCGCCGGGCTGCTCTCTTCTGAAGAGGTGGCAGCGCCGACGTCGCAGCGACGGCGGCCCTGGGGCGCGTGGGCCGCCGCGGGCCTCGCGACGACGGCGCTCGCGTCCCTCGGCGCCGCGGCGACGCTCCACGGCCGACGCGGCCCCAGCGCCGCCCTGAACATCGTCACGGGCCGCGGGGCCTACGACTGGTCCGTCTACAAGTACACGATCCCCGTGGGCAACGCGTCCGCGGCGCCCCTCGAGGACCTCGCCTCCAAAATCTTCGGCCCCGTCACCGTGAGCGACCTCGGCTGCGGCGGGCTCAAGATCTCCGCGGGCACGACGGCGTCCGCGGGCCCGCGGCTCCACTTCGTCCAGTCGGCGACCCTGAGCAACGACCCGACGCCCATCGACGAGTGGGAGCGCTACTGGGTCGCGCTCCACGGCGACATGACCGCGTGGAACGGCTTCATGCACAGCAAGGCGACGCTCTTCACGACGCAGTTCGCCAAGGTGCTGGCGAACCTCGAGACGAAGGTGCCCGTCATGCGCCGCAAGTCCACGGGCTACACCTTCGACGCAACGGCGCACCCGGACTGGACGGGCGACGTCGCGCACGCGCTGTTCCCGATCCGCGGCCGCGTCTACGAGGTCGTCGGCCCCGCGACGACGGCCATGGAGCAGGCGTTCAAGATCAGCGACTGGGAGACCTGGGGCGCCGACGAGTGCGAGGCCGCGCACCGCTTGGACGACTCCCTCGAGGACTACGCGTCGACGTTCGGCGCGTACTCGACGGGCTACGACGAGGACGACAGCCAGTACGCGGACTGGGCGGCGTCGACGGGCTACTGGCCGCCCATGCTCGCCGCCGTGTCGACGGCCGTGCCGGAGCATTTCACGAAGGGCGTCGCGGACGGCACGCTGAAGCTCGCGGACGCGCTTGAGAAAATAACGGGCACGTCCCTCACGCTCGAGACCGTCGAGGCCGGCGCCTGCGTCGTCGCCCACGCGGCGACGGTGTCGACCTACACGGGCTTCAAGCTGCCCCTCAAGTACGTCTACAACGCGAAGGCGCAAGTCCGCGGCGAGTCGTCCGTCGACGACTTCAACCGCTACGTCGCCAACGCCCACGAGAGCATCGCGGGCGCCTACCCGGACTGGGCCGGCTGGGACCACTGGCTCGACTTCCACGTCGGCCTCAAGTACGGCCAGGAGCACGACGCGGCCGCGAACGCGACGGCGCAGAAGGCGAACGCGCGCCTTTTGGGCGGCGACGTGCCCGTGGGCCAGCGCTACGAGACGGGCGGCGAGATCCACTGGTACGCCGGCTTCGAGGGGGCCCTCACCGTCGAGCTCTGCGTCAAGCCCAACACGACGGACCTCGCCGCCGCGTCGCGCAACGACCTCGCGGAGATCTGCACCTGCCGCGCGGACAACAACCTCGAGCAGTACGTCGCCGACACGGGCACGAACTGTTCCATGGGCGCCGTGTCCCTCTAACCCGCGTGCTTCGCTTTTTCTGGCATCGCCAAGCTAGCATGCGCGTCGAGCCCAAGATGAAGGCTTGATGAAGTCGGCACAAAAGGCCGCTTCAGCGAGGGTGTGAGCTGCTAGGAGAAGCCGCGCGGCGCGGCTCCGCGTGTGCCCCTCTCGGCGGCTTAGCCATGGGCGCGTCGCAGTCCGCCCGCTGCCTCGGCGCCCTGGACGAGCCCGAGAAGAAGCTCAAGGCGCCGGGCCAGTACGAGCGGCTCCACGACGACGCGAAGCGCGTGACGGCCGTCAACACCTTCGAGGGCGCCAAGTTCGAGGTCGCCAAGCCCCTGACGCCGACCTTCGCGTTGAACCACAACTTCTGGCTCGGGGGCTCCTACTACCCCAACGCGAACCAGCACTACAAGTTCGGCGCGACCGTCGGCGACAACGAGCGCGTCTGCATGGCGTCGCTCGACCAGTACGGCACGCTCGAGGGCCAGTTCTACGGCGTCGTCGCCGGCGCGCTCCAGGGCAAGTTCATCTTCAACCTGCCCAAGGACCCCAAGGGCTTCGTCGCCGTGCTCGACGCGGACTACGGCGGCGCGACGCACTCCGCGCAGCTCAAGGTCGCGCAGAACATCCACGGCGTCGCGGGCCCCCACTGCGGCTGCGCCTACATGCAGGCCGTGACGCCCCGCTGGTCCCTGGGCGGCGAGGGCGCCTGCGCCCTCGCGGGGCCCAGCGCGACGGCGTCGTTCGCGGCGAAGTACGCGGGCAAGAAGTGGACGGGCGTCGCCGCGGCGACGCGGTCCGGCTCCGGCGCGATCGCGGACCAGCTCGCCTTCTCCTACGCGCGCGTCGTGAGCCCCCAGCGCGTGACCCTCGGCGCCGAGCTCGTCGTCCAGGCCGGCGGCGAGGCGACGTACGCCGCGGGCGCGGAGTTCGCGCTCAAGCAGAGCCGCGTCAACGTCGCCGTCGACGGCAACGGCAAGATGGCCTCCGTCGTCGAGACCCAGCTCTCGCCCGCGGCCAAGCTCACCTTCTCCGCCGACATGCAGCTCGGCTACAACGACGCGGAGCCGGGCAAGCACCGCGACCACTTCAAGTTCGGCTACGCGCTCCAGATCGGCCAGTAGTCCGGGCCGCCTCGCATGCGCCGCGCGCCGGCGCCTAACCGCCTCGCCTCGGGAAACCTACTTTGTGGGGTGGCGCTCGGACTGCTCGTTGAACTTCTTATTGAAGGTGAACTCCGCGATTATGGAGGCCTCGCTTGTGGATCCGTAAGCAGCGCAACGCGCGGCGCTGCGAGCGGTTCTAGCCCGTGCGCGCCGCGTCCGAATTTGTTCGTGTCGTGACAACTCGATGAACTACGCCCTGCTGCCGCCGACGGCGCACGCGGCCGTCGCGGACCGCGTGGACTGCGAGTTCCGGTCGCTGGACGTGGCGGCGCACGCGACGGCGCTGGCCTTCGACGCCGGCGGCCACTACCTCGCCGCGGGCTACGGCGACGGGTCGCTGCTCGTCTGGGACCTCTGCCTCCGCGGCGGCGCGGCGCTGCCGCCGCGCGGCGCGGCGCGCGCGCGGAGGAGCGCCGTCGCGGCCGTCGCCTGGGCGGCGGACGACGCGTCGGCGCTGCTGTCCCTGGACGTCGACGGCGTCGTCGTCGCCTGGGACTTTTGCGCCGCGGGCGCGCTCGCCGAGGCCGCGCGGCTCGACCTCGGCGCCGGCGCCGGCGGCGCCGCGGGCCTGAGCTGCGCGGCGGGCGTCGCGCTCGCGTGCGCGCGGGGCGCGCCGCCGGCGCTCCTGCGGCGGGCGGGGAAGACGCTGGCGCGCGCCGCGGCGTACCCCGGGCCCGCGGCGGCGGCGTGCCTGCTGCCGCGCGCGGCGCCCGTCGCCGTCGCCGCCGCGAACGGCGCCGCGCGGTGCGCGGTCTTCGGGGGCGGCGCCGCGACCCTGGGGCCGGCGCTGGCCCTCGGCGGCGGCGCGGCGACGGGCCTGTCGGCCGCGCCCGGCGGAAAGCTCGTCGCGCTGACGTCGGACGACGGCGCGGTGCGGCTTCTGGGCGTCGGCGCCGGCGCGCTTCCGGCGCTCGAGCTCCGCCACGCGCTCCGGGACCACGTGGACCGCCTGTCCTGGCGCGCCTGCGCCTTCGGCGCCGCGGGCGAGCGCGTCGTCGCCGGCGCGTCGTCGCGCGGCGCCGTCGAGCTCTACGTCTGGGAGGCCGCGTCCGGCGCGCTCCTGGCGCGCGTCGCCGACGAAGACGGCGACGCCGCGGACGGCGACCTCGCGGCCCTCGCCTGCCACCCGCGGGGGGCCATCGTCGCCACGGCCGCGGGCGCGAACCCGCCCGTCGTCAAGCTCTGGGCGTCCGACGACAGCCGGTCCTGGCGCGCGTTCGCGCCGGGCTTCGAGGAGCTCCACGAGAACACGCGCCACGAGGAGCGCGAGGACGAGTTCGACACGGTCCTCGACGCGCCCGACGCGGCCGCGCCGCCGCCGCCGCCGCGGCCCTCGTCGCCCGTGGAGATCCTCGCGCCGCGGCCGGGCATGACGCGGCCCGAGCTCGGCGACGCCGCCGTCCGCCGCGCGGCCGCGCCGCCGCCGCGGGCGCCGCCGGAGCCCAAGCGGTGCAAGGTGACCGTGGAGCTGTAACGGGCGTTGAGTAGGGAGTGGTGAGTCCCTGCAGGCCTCCTTCAAGTCGACTTCAACCAGCTTCGTTGAATGCGTCTCGACTTCCAGCTCTTCCGCGAAGCTCGGCTCTGCCACTGCCCTCGCACCCGCGACGCGCGCTCTTCGAGCGCCAAAAACCCTCGACAGAGCACCCGCGACGCGCGCTCTTCGAGCGCAAAAAAACTCGACGCGAGAACACGATGAGCTGCTGCCCTCCCGGTGCGACGGCCTACCTCGCGGCGGTGCCGACGACCGTGGGCTCGCTCAAGGAGTCGAACGGCGTCGAGTTCTACGAGACCGGCGCCGCGTCGAGCGCGGCGATCATCCTCTTCCCCGACGTCTGGGGCTGGAACAGCGGCCGCACGCGCGCGCTCGCCGACGCCTTCGCCGGCGGCGGCTACCGCGTCTACGTGCCCAAGCTGCTGTCGCCGCCGCTCGAAGGAGGCACGGACGGCGACGGCCTGCCGCCGACCTTCGACATGGGCGCGCGCGGCGCCGAGTTCGGGCCCTGGATCAAGACGGTGCCCTGGTCGTCCGTCGGGCCCAAGGTCGAGGCGCTGCTCGCCTACGCGCGGGCCGCGGGCGCGACGTCCTTCGGCGCCGTCGGCTGCTGCTGGGGCGGCTGGGCCGTCTTCCAGGCGTCCGCGCTCGACGCCGACGTCAAGTGCGGCGTCATCTTCCACCCGTCGTGCCACATCGAGGGCGTCTACGGCGGCGACGTCGGCGAGCTCTGCGGCCGCGTGCGGTGCCCCGTCTACTTCATGCCCGCCGGCGGCGACAGCCCGGACCTCTACGGGCCCGAGGGCTCGCTCGTCACGACGCTCGCGGCCAAGTTCCCGGGAACGAAGACGAAGCTCTTCGCCGACATGGCCCACGGCTGGACGTCCCGCGGCGACGCGGCGGACCCGGCCGTCAAGCGCGACGTCGAGCTCGCGATGACCGAGGCCAAGGCCTACTTCGCGGAGTTCCTCCCCGTCGCCTAAGTACAAGTTACTCGGTGCCAACTTACTTGTAGTACTCGGTGCCGAAATCCTCGCCGGGGCCTGACTTGACCCTGAGAACTCGCCTAAGCAAGTCAAATTACTCGGCGCCGAGGACTCGCCGAAGCAGGCCAAGCTACTCGGTGCCGAGGACGGACCGCGTCACCGTGCGGCACAGGGGGCAGGACACGACGGCGGAGCGCCGCGTCGCCGCCGAGAGGCGCACGGCGCCCGCGAGGCCGCGGAGGCAGTCCTTGTGGAACGCGTGGCCGCAGCCGTCGAGCGCGAACGCGTCGTCCGCGTCCATCGGCGACATGCAGATCACGCACGACGCGTCCGGCGCGGCGGGCGCGCCCTCCGCCTCGCGTCGGCCCCGCTTCGCGCGCGGCCGCGGGTCGTCGTCGTCGTCGTCGTCGTCCGTGCAGGCGTCCTCGCTCCGGAGCTCGGACGGGGGCACGCCCTCGCGGACGACGCCGTCGGCGAAGGCGACGTCGACGCGGTGCCCGTTCGCGGCCAGGACCGTCGCCGGGTAGAACTGGCCGTCCTGCGGCCAGAGGGCCGCGACCTCGTCGCCGACGTCGACGCGGAGCCGCTTCTTCCGCCGCTTCTTCCGCGTCCCGCTCCTCGCGCCGCCGCGGCGGTCGGGCGTCTTGGCCTTGGCGCCGCCGATGCCGTTCAGTGCGAGAAGTTGCGATCCCGCGGGCAGGGGTCGGCCCGAGGCCAGAGCGAGGAGCGCGCGCGTGCGCTCGGGCGCCTTGCGCAAGCACGCGAGCTTGAGGGTTCCGGTGCCTCCAAACTTCTTTTTGTTCTGGCACGCGCTGCATTCGCCGCAGTCCGCCGTGTCGGTACGGAACTGGAACTTGGCGTTATTGACAAAAGACTGCTCGAGCGACGCCTCCTCCATCGCCTCCTTGCGCTTCGCGGCGTCGCGCGCCTCCTCCACCGAGATTCGATACGTCGCGCCGTCGTCGTCGAAGAGCGAAACGCAGACGACGTCGTCGCCGGTCGCGCCGACGGCGCGGAGAAGCAGCGGCGCCTCCGAGGCCTGCTTCGCGCCTTCTTTCGCGCACGTTTCGCAGTGGAAGGGCTCGTCCCACGCGGGCACGGCCTTGAGCCCCGAGCAGCGGAGGTGCACGTCGTCGCCGCACCCCTCGCAGACGAGCACGTCGTCGAGCGCGATCCCCCGCGCGTCCAGCGTCGATCGCGAGCAGACGCCGCAGCGCGAGCAGTCGTCGCAGAAATAGGGCTGTGGCAGCTTCTTGTACGGAATGGAATCCATATCTACGCTCACTCCGCACTTTTCGCAAGCCACGACTTCGCCATCGTCGCCGGAATCGCGGCGCGCGCCATCGTCGACGGCATCGCCGCTTCGCCGACGCTCCCCCGGCGCGCGGAGCAACACGCGGCCGATGAGCGGGCAGCCCGGCTCGTCGTCGCGCACGGAGAGCGCCGCCGCGGGCCCGTCCGCGCACAGCGGGCAGCGGTAGCCGTCGGGCGCGTCGCCGACGAGGCCGACGCACCGCGCGTGGACGAAGCCGCCGCAGCGGCCGCCGGGGCCGCCCGCGCAGGCCACGAGGCCCTCCTCGCCCGCCGCGCCCTTGCCGCAGACGCACACCTGGATGTCGCGGCAGGCGAGGAGCGCGCGCTCCGCGTCTGCGCTATTCGCGAAGGACGACGGAAGCAGCAGGCCGCCGAGGCCGCACCGGGCGAGGAATTGGGGGTGGCACGTTTTGGTCGGCCGCCGGAGAGCGACGCCGCCTCCGACAACTCGCCGCTGCGACGCCTTGATCGGCGCCGCGCCGTCCGCGCGCCGCGGCCGCCGGCGCGGTTTCGGCTCGTCGGCAACGTCGGACGCGTCGTACAGGGCGACGCCGTAGCGCGCCTGGTTGACCAAGGCGACCATCTCGTGGAGCCCGGCGTTGATGCCGTAGGCCACGAGCCTATCGTCGTCGCCCGCGTCCTCGTCGAAGTCGTCGAAGTCCGCGAGCGGCATGCAGACGACGTGCCAGCCCTGGGCGACGCCGCCCTCGGCGTCCGCGTCGCGCCACTCGAGGGACTGCGATAGGACTTTGAACAGGCCGTCGCAGGACTCGGTGACGGCGTCGACGTCTAAAAAGACCATGAAGGCGTACTTGTCCAGCAGGCGGTCCTCCGACGCCTCGGACGCGTCCGCGACGGCCGCGGCCTCCCAGGGCTCGACCGCGTTGACGAACGCGCGGCTCGCCGGCACGGGCGCCGCGGCCGGCGCGCGCGCCGCGGCCCGCGCGGCGTCGACGAGCTGCTTCGGCCGCGCCTTGTAGGCCTCGACCTCGGCGAGCTTCGCCGCGGTGACGGGGCAGTCGCGGACCTCGCGCGTCGTCGCGTGCGAGGCGGTCCCGTCCGTCCACTGCACGAAGTAGCGTCCCGCGTCCCAGCGTACCCAGCGCGGCCGGGCGAGCTTCTTGGACCAAACGTCGCAGGGGGAGCGCCAGACGCCCTCGTAGAGCACGGCCTTGTCGTGGAGCGCGTCGTCGGGCGCGTTCTTGTCCAACGCGAAGGGCAGCTTCGGCTCCGGAGGCGGCGGCGCGCGCATCGCGTCCTCGGCGACCCAGAGGTCGTAGCGCGACGTGAAGCCGCGGAAGTGGACCTTGGCCATGCCGTCGTCGCGCGTCTCCAGGACGACGGCCCGGTACCAGCCGCCGTGGTCGTCGCGCGCCTCGACGGCCGCGCCGACGGCGTAGCCCGCGGGCGACGCGGCCGGCCGCCGGGGCGGCGCCGGCGCGGGCGACTTCTCGCGCGGGGGCGCCGGCGCGGGCGACTTCTCGCGCGGGGGCACCGGCGCCTTCGGCTTCCGCGTCCCCGACGCCCGCTTCTTCGGCGGCGGCGCCGGCTCGGCGTCCGGCGTGACGAGCGCGGCGCGCCGGCGGCATCGCGGCGTCGTCCCCGCGGGGAAGGGGTCGTTGCGGCCGATCGCGTTGTAGTCGGCGAGCGACTTCAGCGCCCGGGGCAGATCGCCGCCGCCGCGCGCGTCCAAGGCCATTTCTTCGCTCGTCGAAGCCCCCGCGCCCCAGCGCGCGGCGACGGGGCGAGTCGTCTCGTTCCCGAAAACCTTGCGGTACTTGAGCTCGACAGCGCCCGGCGTCCGACCGGTGCCGAGCCGCTCCGCGACGGCCGCCCAGCTGTCTTCGCCGAGCTCGTCGACGCTACTTTTGAGCAGCGCCTCCTCGCCGGGCGTCCAACGCATGCGCTCTTTGCTCGGGGCCTCGGGCGCGGCCTCGGCCGCGGGCGCGGCGGGCGCGGGCGCGGCCACGGGTGCCGCGGGAGCTGCCTCGGCGGGCGCGGGCGCGGGCGCGGGCGCGGGCGCTGCCTCGGCGGCGGGCGCCGGCGCAGGCGTGGCGGGAGCGTACGGAGACGTCAAATTCTCCGCCGAGAGAACAGCCAGGAGGGCATCGACGCCGCACGGAGGAGCGTCGGCCTCATAAACATCGCAGTCCAATACAGAACCGGAGGCACGACTCCGGACGACGCCGGCGGCGTCGATCTTGACGACGCCAGGGCGCTCCATGCGAAAGAGTCGGCTCTCAGGCGCGATCCAGTACGGGAGCTCTCTCTCCAGTAGAATCGGCGACCAGCGATACCGCGGCCGCCGGAATCCGGCGGTGCCACTGCTGCGCCGTCTGGTGCCGGCAGCAGTGGGGGCTCACGAGTACTGAGCGGCGGAGGCCGAGAACCGCGAGCTCGAGGCGCTCCTCGACCAGCGCGCGCGCGCTGCTGGGGGAGAGTTAAGCGCGGATATTACGGCCCCTTCGTTAAAGGGAGGTAGAGGCGAAAAGGCAG